TTTTATGTATGTGCTGTGCAGTTGGAGGAACTCAGGGCACTAATGTCCAACTCCCATATGGAAATATCTCAAAGCAAAAGTGGGCTGGTTGACTAACTCAGTGGTGGTGCAAAGGACCTGCATTTTCAGTTTGTCAGGGTAGATCAGGAATATTTTCTGTGGACAGATGAGGTCCATACACCAGAGAGGACCAGCACTGAGTGATATTAAATCCTGCCTAATAGGGTCTCCTAGAGAGGTAAACTAGCCTTGGGACACAGAAACTATAACCAAGGATCTCTTGTGCTTGTAGGAGAAGAAAGCTTTGAGTCAGAAAAGATTGTATGAAGGGGACCTGTGAGAGAGAAGTTCCTGAAGAGCACACAAATGTGTCCATTAAAAAGCAGGCTTTATACATTGGCCAAGTCCAGAGAGCACTTGACAGTTTCAGACAAACCTGTGACAGTTTCAGACAAATCAGAACCTACCTCATGCTTCTTTATTCCCCTTTTTGCTTACCCTTATCCACTTAGATAAATTATCCTTAACTTTCAAGATTCAGTTCAGGAATTCGCTCCTCTAGGAAGCCTCTTCTGAACTTTCTGATTGAGTTAAACATGTCTCTTCTGACTCTGATAGTACTCAGAATCTTCTCATCATTTGTCCTTGGACCAAAACTCTCGGAGCCAGGAGTCTTGTCCCAGTATTCCTGGCATTCAGCACAGCTCCTGCACATGGTGGACACGTAAACATGGTTTCTCTTTGTTTTAAAATTTGTTGTTGTTAGTATTAACACTATTAGTACTAATACTACACTCAGCTGAATTTATGGTACCTTTTGCTACACTAACTCACCCCCATCCAGTTTTCCCTGGTTTTCATATTTTCTTCTGCCAACACACACACACACACACACACACACACACACACACACACACACACCCTCTAGGATGCATTTTGATCATGTCTAGCTGGGACTCATGTCCCCTAAACCTAAGCTATCTTCCTATTGCCACAATATATTTACAAAGGAGATATGCAGAGGACACAGCAAGCAGTTTCACATTCTTGGATACCAGCAGGGCCTTTGCCTCCCTGACCTGAATTAAACCACATGGAACATTGCCTGGCCTTGCTGTCCAAGCACATACCTGTGCCCATGGATTGTGAAGTAAAGTTCTGGAACTCAGCTTGACTTTCTTTCTCTCATACCAGTATTTCTGCCAATTTTTCTCTTGCTACAGTAGAGGCTGCCATCACTAAAGAGTGCTGATGAAACAAATGATGATTGGAGAGTTATTTTATCAAGAATTTATTTTCTTTTGCTTTAAGTTGATGCGTTCATTGGCTACACTTTCTTAAATATTGCAAAATGGCACATTTATTCCCTGTGCTAATTGCTCGATTAATTAAAAGTACCATGCAAGCACTGTGGAATTTTTCAATTGCTTTTAGTTTTTAATTTTGAGTTTGACTTAGCAAAAACTAATAAGAAAATAGGACCTTATAAGCTCTTAACAAATTGGTATGTCCCCTGTGGGTATGCAATAAATTCAGATGCACAAAGATGATTATAGAATTGATGCAGATTGCATTCTTTCCGATTTTGGTTAGTACTAGAACTGATATAATGGGAGTGCCATGTTAGTCTTTTCTTAGCAATTTACTTTTCTTAAAAGTCCACCTAAACTAATGGTGGTGAATGACACCATATGGGGTGAGTTTATTCACATTCTAATTCAGCCATGAAGCAGCTTCAGCCAAATGTGCATTGTGTACCGTTCAAATCTGCATCCCTCCCCTGCCCTTCAACCAGTGAGAATGACATTTTTAAATAAAATGTGAACTAACATTCCAGGTCCAGATTTTGTCTCTGTTTTAAAGCTGCAATATAGATCATGGCTTCCAAAAAGTTGACCAACTTTTTTTAAACATAAAATTATAATAAAAATGTATGCAGGCCCAGCCGGCGTGCCTCAGCTGTTGGAGCATTGACCGATCATACAGAAGATCACAGTTTGATTCTGGGTCAGGGGACATGCCCAGGTTGCAGGCTCAATCCCCCATGGTCGGGGGGAGGAGGGTGCAGGAGGCAGCCGATCAATGACTCTCTTGTCATTGATGTTTCTATCTTTCTCTCTCCCTCTCTCTCCTTTTCTCCGAAATCAATAAATATATATTTTTTAAAAATTAAAAAAAAATGTATCCAGGTACATTTTTTCAAAGAACAAAACTTTTACTCTGCTCCCAATAAGATAAAGCTACAGCCACACTGTCAGGACAAAATTTAGTTGCATTGTCATTTGATACAGATATTTAATTTCCTAATGAGAAGAATCCTCTCTATGCAGTATGGAAGATAAATTAGATTAGATAATTGCCAAAATTTGACAGACACAAGTTTTATTTCTATAACTAAAGCTAAATATTACTGGAAACTTGGGTTAAACATTTGGTTCTTAGTCCAAAACTGAATTGAAATAACACTGCTGTGCTTTTGGAAGTAGTCACATTAAACCCTCTCTTTAATTCTCATCACTATTATCCATTCTTGCAAGTGCCTTCTTCCTACAATATTTATTTGCTTAAGACAATAACAGAAACAATAGAACACCTATTTAAGTATCTCTGAGATATCTGTTCAATATTTATAAATCTAAAAAATTTCATACTAATAGAACACCCACTACCTGTCAGATTCTTGTTGTCATACTTAATTCCCGTGAGGTGAGGAATCACACTTTTATGAGTCAGCAAACAGGTTAAGAGGTTTAAGGCTGTGTCCAAAGTCATATAACTAATATGTAGCATACACAGCTCAAATCAGTTCAGTTATTTTGTTATTTTTCTGAATTTTTATTCTGGTAAAATATACATAACATAAATTTAATATTTTAACCAACTATTCTCATATATAAATGCTCTACTCCAAGCAGTATCTGGCATGTTACTGTGTCATGTACCGTGTTTTCCTAATTCCAGTCTCTTTTACATGGCCTGTACCTTATACAGAATTCCCTTTCTTTCCTTTTGTACACTCATCTCATATACAATTTCCATTTTAAAGTCTGTCAGGCCTTTCCCTCCTCCCCCATCAGTAATTATCCCTCCTTTTAATTTTTGTATGTATTTACTTGTTTGCCTCGTGTTTCTACCTTGGTTTTATTAATTATTTTATGCATGTACCAATTAGGCTGAAGTTTTATGAAGGTAGGGTCTATGCCTTTTGTTTTTTGTTGCGCCCTTATTTGCATATAATGATGATGATATGATATGATATGATATGATATGATATGATATGATATGATATGATATGATATGATATGATATGATATAGCAGGAGCAGAAAGCACATTTGTGGGTTGATAGACCATGTTGAAACAATTTCAGACAGAAAATTTATTTTTATTTTTAAATCTTTCCAGAAGTGCATTGGAGCTTAACTACCTCTTTTGTTAAGAATTTTCTCTTTAGGTTTAACCAATTTTCTTTGTATGTACCCCCAAATCAAGATGAACAGATACATTACATTAGGCTATTTTAAAATTAATTTACACTATAAATGTTTACTTTGTCAAGATCTGATGGATTGCATACAAGATCAGTATTTTATATTTATATTGAATTTTCTTCCTCATATAGTCTTATTTCCTTAATCATTTGCACATTTGATAACAAAATTGACTGTTACTACATGTAAAAGCTTCATAAAACAGAATTCACCTCATGACCCTTTCTTATTGTGATTTAATGGCTTGTGTAGTATAAATTAATATAATTATGTTAGAACGTAGCAGAGACAAACAAATCATATGATCTCATAATGTATACATTGATTTGGGACCTGAGAATACATTTTAAATTTATTTATATTTGGGCGGGTACCTCCCAAAGACTCTATTATGTTAAATTGAATAACATTTCAATGAAAATGTTTATAGTGTTTCAGAATAACAAGAACATTTACCGCTAGAGATTTTCAGACTAGACAAAATTAATTAGGCTAGCGAAGCGGCAAGCAGATTGAGGAAAGGCCTCCTTGCCATTCACGTTCCACTTGCCAGCTTCCTTTTAAATATAGCAGCTCCTATCTGGATCAATTACAGGCGTCTGGAAATCGTGAAAAGAAACTATTTTGTAACATTCCGATATGATGAAGTGCATCAAGGACTAGCACAGCAGGCGTGGTATCAAACAGGTATCTAATTTGTAAAAGGAGTTCTCTTGAAACAGCCATTTGCTGAAATAATTTGCTTAATAGTGATGTGTCAAGCTGTACTCAGCAAGTAAAACTTTCAACCTTATTTTGAAAAGGTATCATTTTCAAACCAAATATTTGTAACAATTACAATACAACATTTTTTTTGTTTTGTTTTTATTTCTTATTAAGATTGGAAATTAGTTTGTGTCACTGGTATAACAATTTCTGTGGCTTATACAGAACTTGCAGGATATAGTAGAAAACTCATAAAATTCAGAATGAGATATCTGGGTTTGAATCGTGTTAGTGTGAGCTAATTAATTTCTCTGAATCTTGGTTTACTTATTTATAATGATGGAGTATTTTTGAATATTAAATACAAAAATACCTGTTTAAAAATAGAATAGCACATGTAATAATTGATGCTTAATTAGTGTTAGAATCTTTTTTCCCTAGCAACTCATATGTCCAACCCATTAAATATGTTTCTAATTGTCACTGCAGTGAACCACATAGCCAAGTTTTAGCATCATTAAACAAATCCAAACAAACAAATGAACAAAACTAGTACATAAAAAAGGTAATTGCTATGTGACACCAATTAACTATCTCTGAAATTACTCTAAATTTAATCAAATTCATGTCTCACAAAAAATACTTCCAAATATTATTCTTTTTCCTCTCCTTATTTGCTCACAGCCTGAGGTTCTGAAAAGCCCCTTATTTTCAGACTTTTTCACCCTTTCTCTTCAAAAAGAAAAAATTACCTGAACTTCAACTCATGAAGATTCTTGTGTCTTCATTTTCTTCCTGCCTCTTTAGTCTTGTTTCTCTCCACTCATTCTTTAAAGTTCCTATATGAAATTTGGGAGAATAGGCTGGTAAAGGTACATTTTCTTGAGAAATAGAGGAAATTTAAGGGAGGAAAAACAAAAAAAGGAATAGAACATTTGCATTTCAATACATCATTTTTCACTCTTGTCCCAATGAATAGGCTACATATTTTTAATTATTTTAGGCAACAAAGTTTGGTCTTGAGTTATCAACTTTGTGTTGAACCTCAAAATATATTTTTCTTATGATTTAAATTAGAATACAAAACTAGAAATAACTCTTATTTCCCAGAAATGAAAAGAAATTGTTTTTAAGATTTTTCTTAACTATTCATTGAGAGATCAAGGATACTCTTCTAAATATATTTTATTCTTCCTGCTCTTTTCAACATTGTCATTCAAAATTATGTCCTGTCTAGATTTATTCTATTCATAAAAATTGTAGAAAAGTCCCCCTTGTTTTATGTCTATCTGACATTGTGAAGTAGTGATTGAATAACCAAGAATCATTTACTGCAGGTATATGTTATGGACTGAGTCATTTCTTGGAGATTCAAAGTCAAAGAAGATAGAAGTTCTATCCATAAGGCAAGTGATAGTAAACTTCATTTTGTCCTAGGCCCTGATAGAGGACCCACTCTATGAGAAGTTATAATTCCTAGATGACTCATGGTGATACGTACCAAATTATGTTGATTTATGATACATTCTTATGAGAAACACAAATTAAAGGAA